CGATGCAGAAATGTAATTGACAAGCGATAATGCTGACTGCAATTCAGTAGTATCCTAAATACCTGATCTTGAGTATTTACTTGCGATTAATTTCTGTTACTACAAGCTAAAAAGGGTTGAATAGGGAATTGTAGCCCCAAGTTTAGCTTCGTTGGCTGCTTCAGGACTACGCACATAGTGCATGGGTGAAAATTGATGCTTATTGCCTAGAGCTGATCACATCATCCATTTCATGGTCATTTTTGTTTCCCATAGGTTACAAATGTTGTATGACCTTGGGGCCATTTTCGTTCATAGATATGAGTGGTAATCGTGAAAATCTCATGTTATGATCTGCAAATCTTTCCAACTTAGGCTCGCTCTATTGGCTCGTATTGGCTCGTTTTCGACTGGATCCAACGCCCTGCACTCCTTTTGAATAATGACTGGGGATGCATATTTTTTGTCTGCAGCCCCCTAGGAAAATTCAACCCAGATAGGATCGTGTCTTATTGGTATAGGAAGTGATTTCTGCCATTTTTTTAATGCATGGAAATGCATATTTTTACACTTTTCTCAATATGTGCATATTTACTTATATATGTGCATGATCATGCAAATTTCAGTCTTTTTTTTATAATAAAAAAGTAAGTTTTCCAACAATATGGAATATCCCAATTATCTGATATGTGTAAACATAGAGAAAACAATTACGAAGCAACTACCCAAGTGGCTTTCATGCATTTTCATCTCAGGTGGCTTTTTTCAGCTTTTGCCAATTCTGGGGGTCTTTTTTCCAGGTAGCTTTTTCCTGAACCCCAATTATAGAGGGCGACTCGCGAGCGTGTCAATGGATACTCTCTTGGGATACTCAAGAGCGAATGACTATTCCGTATACTTGAATTGAAAAAAAGCCAACTTGGCTTTGCCATTCACTTAAAGGGAGGGCGTGCAAACTTAGACGTGGATACGCAGGTACTAGTTCTTGGAGGACTGGCAGATACAAGTAAGGGAAAATGACGAAATAACTTAAGTTTCTCTGTATTTATTCAATTTCGGAATGAATCAATGAACATAACTGACGATTGATGGAATATATTAATGGTTCATATATATTTATATACATACAGATACACACCACTACCGCCATTCAAAAGAAAACCATGTTCGCGACTGAGACGGCCGCCATATCACAGATGCAGGAACAATACAGGCACAAAAAGGCATGGGCAATTCACAGTTCACAGATGTCGTAATCACTTCATTCCTTTCATCTCTTGCTTCCAGGCTGCAGTTCCTAAGTAGAATCGCTCGCTCGTGCACACACACACACACACACACACACACACACAGTGAACTCTCATCAATTTTGGGGATCAGGCCAATATTTTGATATGATTGAAAATCCAATGGCTTGAAATTGTTCTTTTTTTTCTGAGGAGAATTCTGTACATTATCGGGCCACCTTCGGCCAAAATGTTTTCCTCTATCTTTTCTCTTTAGGTTTCATTGTTAGACTACTGTTGATATACGCAGCAGTATAATGCATTCCTCTCCAAGATCATAGTCCGACAAAGAGGCTTGGGAAAGAGCCAACATTTCAGGAAGTGGCCTTCAGTCACATCTTTTTGTTCAAGACGAGGCCGGCAGGAATTCATCGAAGAACGAAGAAAAAAGCCCTCCTGGTGATATCTTCCTTTTCCAGTCAAATTCTAAGAATACTGTACATAGAAAATGAGACCTTGCCTTCGTACCAAATTAGTCCAGTCTGGTAAAGTCATCACTTGTCCTTTCAAATCTTTAGAGTCCCATTCGCTTACTTACCCAGTGACTTGAGTAGACGTGATGTGAAGTGAACGTTAGAAATTACATGCTGAACAATGGGGTTTTTAAATGTTTTGGCTGAACTAATGATGACTATGCTAAAAGGACTGAACTGATTTGGTGTGGTGTTCTACAGGCAGTTTCAGACAAAAAAAGACTGTGACATGGATAAAAGTTTACATGAAAGGAATTGCCATCCATGAGGGACTTGGTCGCTTTGCTCTTACTAATGTGAATCTTGAAACTATGTGAACAATCTGGCACCACCTATCATTATAAGGGAAACCTGTGAAAATTAATTTTGGACCACCAATCATGAAAAAGGGGAACCAGTGTAAAACAATAAATAGTTTGAAATCTCACCCTTCAATTTTATCCTCTCATGATCTCATGATCCTTTAATTGTGACTCATTAGGGGAAGCAATCTCTATTAACAGAATGCCATTGAAATCACATTATTACAGGTGTACACCAAAACTGGCTATTCATATTCCTACTCAAAACAGGAAAATGATTGGTCTACACCAAATTGTAGAGTATCTGTACCTGTGCAGACACTGTAGGAGCTGAAAGAAACAAGTTCTACATTACCACTTTGTGCTTCACACACGAAAGGAAGGAATCGCTGCTGTTAAAAACAGTCGTCAGCGATTCTGCTTCCACCCCAGGCACATCCTTCATCCTAACACCATTAGGACTGACATCAAGAGGATTTATCAAAATCCAACTATGTGGCTTGATTTGGACATTATGTACTTCCTAAGGTCAGCAATCAACTCTCTTGCATGGATTCAGTATGTGCATCACAAGGACAAAGATCACAGCACCCTGAAGGGCCCATTGATCCATCAGTGTGTTTTCTTTCTTGGGAGGATGCAGAGTCAGTGACGTCATTTGAATCAAGAGATTGAACACTAGGTGCAGGATATGCATTAGCTTCATCCTCTTCCACTTGGATGAGAAAAGATTCATCAGCAGCACTCTCACAATTGCCTGAAGGGGCAAGGACAGCAAATCCAGGTCCTTTTCTCAATATTTTCCCTCGAATCCTTTGTCCTTCCACCAGTTCCACTTCACCAATTCTCACATGACCAGCAGGTTCCAGGCACAATTCCAAGGTCTTGTGGACACCATCATACCTAAATGTCTGTAATATTCATGGATACCCCCCCCCCCCAGAATGATGAACAAAATCTCAAACTGGAATGATAACACCGGTACTGAAACTTTTAGCTTACCTTATCATTGAAAGGTGGGATACTTAGGTGCTGGTGATGGTGAAGGGGACCATATATGCAGAAGGCTTTCTTCATGTAAAGCCCATTCTCTTCAAATAAATGAGGCTTCCCTTGCACATATTCCCAGATGGACTGAGTTCGCAGCGATGCCTGCAACTCCAAGAAGGCTTCCTCTACTTCAAGACCTCCTCTCACCTCTATGGGAGAGTGACAACTTCACAGCATTTTCTCAGACTTTTGCACTAATGAGAAAATCTTCTAGGTAATGGCAGTTCATACTGCCATTACCAGAAACTAGTCATGTTTAAGTCAATAATTGGAACAGTGAACGAAAAAAGTCGAAGATGGTGATATACTGTCAAATACTGTATATGCCAGGCACTATTCTGAATCAGGTATTGGATGAAAGATTATCTGTAATTTTCCACATGATTGCATATGGCAGATGAAACTTCTTTACACAGGGTGTGTCAGAGAAGATGGACACATTTGAAATCTATAAAAAAAATTATTGTTTTGCTGATATTTCTCTCTTCTTTACAGGTTTTAATATTCTTCAAGGTTTGAAATTATATCTGTCATGGATCAATGGGAACTTGCTCAGCATACTAACAGTGGAGTATTTTTTTGCAAAAGGCACCAGCAAGCACAACATGTGCTTTGACATGAGTCAGGAGAATAAGAGGATGGCCTAGGAGGGGTAAAAGAGGAGGAGAAGGAAAGTAATAGAGGGGCAGATAAAGTGCAATGTGCAATTCACATTAAACTTGCACAAAGGAGCATTTTGCAAAAGAATACTCCACTGTTAGTATGGTGAACAAATTCCCATTGACCCATGACAGATAAAATTCCAAACATGGACAGATACTAAAACTTATAAATAATAGAGAAATATGAACTTTTTGTAATTTCAAATGCTTCTCTGCAAAGTTTACAAAGTCTTCACACACTGTATAAATACTCACCACATTGCAGTTGAGTCAAGTGTTCCACAATTGCATCAGATAATATAGAAGTGGAAACGATGGGTGATGGCAAATGAGTGACCTGCTTCCCTTTTTCAGGTTCTTCAAGTTCCACCTGAATCTTATCTCCTCCCTAGTTGAGTAAAATAGCATTATATCATGAAGGAAACCCAAGCATTGAAATAGATAACCCACATTCCTCAACATTTAGGAATTGCTTATGTTTTATGCATTTCTTAAGAAAATTTTCTAAGCCAGAATTCGCAGTTTCATTCAATTCCTCTCCTATGCCCACTTCTTAAACAAACAGGCACACTATGGTAAAATTACCACCCATTTACCTGCTTTCTAAACCTAAACCTCCATGATTCTTTTGGGCCGACTTGAAAGAAACCTTCTCAAGCAGACAGGCCCTTACACATCAGAGGGTTCCAACAAAAATCTGAAAATAAATTTCCCTTCATTCCCCAGTTCCTTTAAAGAATTTCCCACCAACAAATATTTTCATTTTAAACAAGCTTTCCTGCATCATGAATTCCTTTCACTTCCTTTACAGATGAAACTGAAGAAAATTTTCTCATTTTCCTGACTCAATGGAAAGTGGGAAAATTTCCTAGCTTTTTTTTATAATTCTCTTCTGATATCCTACAATTTCAAGGTTTTGCTATTCTGTGGCTACCTATGGCTACATACATATGGTAAGAAGAGAAGTTCCTCACATTATTTATCATTATTGATTGACACCCATATGCATTCATCACATCCAATAGACAATAATTGATCATCCTCAATAGGTCATTCCAGCTTCATGTTTTGCAGAAAGAAAAGACATAAGAAAGGGATAAGGAAAGTAATGAGTATATGGCATTGGTGCCTAACTGGTCCCTGGCGTCGGCATAATTTTACATAGACGTCCTCAAAGTGTTCGGATATCCCGGCCAGGGAAAGGGTTAACTGCATGTTGTGCCTGGTATGACACAATCTGCTTTGCATTGAAACGCATACTATGGAAAAACCAACATGAAAGGATAACTTTTTCCTTATTTTTCTCAACAACATAAAAAAATGATTGTCAAAAATGCATTTACAAAATCATGCATTGTAGGGTTAATCCTTTGCCATGCCTAAGTATACTCAGGTGAACACTGTCATGCTTTTTTTAAATGCACACCATTTATTTCTGGGAAATGGTCTCAGTTTTATCAGTTAAAATTAAAATATAGTGGTTTTATTTTAGTGAAAATACAATTCCAGGAAAAAACAATTCAAAATGACAGAAAAATAAAAATCCAGTAAAAGAAGTTCAAGATCCAGATTAAAACTTGAAAGAGGAGTTATTATGCATCAAAGTTTCTTGGCTCTCTTAGTCTCACATTGGTACATTTCATTTAAGGCAGTGAAAAATATATAATTGCTATTTAAAAAAATTAACATTTAATTGCAATAACTGTGTGGCTAGGCAAAACATCCTCTTAACTTAGGCACAATTCCATTTCTGTGTGGCAGACTCACATGGTAGCCATAATGGACAGACCAGGTTCATAACAAAAAAGCAATACAGCATAGTGTCTTGTGGTCATATGAGACATGCTATTTGTTTGGCTCTCTTGGCTGCCAGAGAAAGGCAACCAACTTATGCCTTGTCAGATCACAATGCAACATGCTGCATTGGTTCACTGTCACTGTGGACATAGACAGTATGACTGCCAAACAAATATGGAGCTGAGTCCCTGCAATCCACAGGCTCTGAAAGCTTTGATACAGAAGTTTGAAAGAACAGGCAGCAGCCAGGATATAAAGAGACCAAGGCACCATTGTCACCATTGTGGATGTGGACCCAATGCCACTGGTGTATAAAACCCCATGGTGTCATGCACTACCATGCAAAATATGAGGCAATTTCATCTGGATTGTCCTGGATTTCATCCTGGATGACGTTGTCGTAGGGTAAACACCCCAGTTTTTGGCCACGCTGATACGACTCCCATAGGACACCCTGTACGCACACCGTCCCGGTGTGCGTACAGGGTGTCCACTTCAGGCCAGTAATAGGTCCCCTATTACTGGCCAACAACTGGAGACCGGCCAGAAACCGGGGTGCTTATTTGCCCCAAGGGAGGACGGGGGCCTCTCGCAGATCTGCGTAGAAATGCGTTTTCGCGCGGAGCAGTTCAGAATAAAGGGCATTCTGTGTAAGAGGACATGGTGGCGCGGCGTGCCTATGGCATGGGAAGACAGATATATCATGCAAGACAGTTATATCGGGAAACCTGAAACTCATGAAAATTTTACTATAAGCCAAAAAAAAACCTCTCTCTTAGGGATGGGTTGCGTGAAATCGATGCCCGACCATCTCCCATCCATATACATATAAATAATACATAAGAGGATAATTTGTCCGTGTCAGGGTGTCATTCCGGGGAAACTCCTAGACGGATGAACAGATTTTCATGAGTGAGATGTCAATCGAAAGCTTAGGAGGCGGTAGTTCTTGGATTAAAAATCGTCCCATTTTCAATAAGGCCAAATTTTGGCAATAAGAATAGCATTACACCGAATGCCTTCCCTGGCGAAGTGCTTACACATCATGACCGCACTAGACCTGAAACTCGATTGCGGGGTCTCAAAGTCCAAAGCCTGCTTTGTCCTCTGAGCTTCAGAACTCGAGGTCTCAAATTACGCATTCGCTCGCATCCGACCGGAAACTTGATTGTCCATCGACCTACACGACCAATGCATCCCGGCCAAGCCCAAAAATATTTCCCTATTTTACCCGGGCATTCTTATATTAGAACGAAGGGTCTCACTTTAAGGCTACGAAGCGGAACTCGCTGAACATTAGCATACAGCCAATTGGAGTTTCCCTGAAGACGGAACGCATCCCCTTATAATTGATTGACGCTTTAGAATGCTGAGATGGAAATCACTGGATATCGTAACAAAAAGGAAATTGGGAGTCTTTGACGACGGGAACCATCCTCCCTTTCTCCATCTGCTTCCTGAGACTTCCAAATTCGTTCGGTGTGTCTCATTTGAATATTATAGGTGTCATTCGAGAGCTTATAACCTTGTGGCGATAATTATTGGGTCGAAATTTCAAAAAGTCCCACTATTTTAACGTCACGGAGCCTAATTTTGGCGATAAGAATGGCATTGTATTAAATGCCTTCCCGGGCGAAGTCCTCACAACCAGCAATGCAATCAATAGGGATCAATAACATTAAGTAAGATGCCTAGGATGTGTAGATGCGTTCGGTGCGGGGATTGGGTAGGTGGGACTAGTGAACGAGAGGTATGCCAGGTATGCAGAGTTTGTAGCTTGGAGGAGCGATAGGGGAGCTATCGGGAAGGCTCATTAGCGTGGAGGAGGGGATAAGAGGGATCAGGAAGGAGGTGGGCGAGATACAGAGGGATGATTTAGTGACGAGGCTAGTTAGGGTGGAGGAGGCACTCGGGGGGGTTCCCCAGCCTTCCGGCATTTACTAGGAGGGTGGCCCTTTCGTCCTTTGACAGCGCGTCGAGTGCCGACTCCCAGGTGGCAAGTAATTGGGCTCAGGTCGTAAAGGGGACGAAGGTTAAGCGGTTAAGCCTTGTTTCGACTAGAAGAGATTCCCGGGAAAAGGAGGGCCAAGTCGAAACACTCGACCCGGGCCCTCTTTTTTGCCTCAGGCGTTTCGGCTCGAGCCGGCCCAGGCCCGGGCTTTTACCTAGTCGAACCACTTGGCCCGGGCCCGAGAGAGTGTGTCTCCTCTACTCAACGTCTACCCTCCTACTAGTCCTGTGTGAGTGTGTGCGTCATGTCCTTGTGCACTCGCTGGGAAGTCCACGAAACTGAAGCTTTATTGAAACTATTCAAGGAGCACAATGTTCAATCGATATTAGATTGGGCAGCGAGAAACAACAAGCCTGCCTGAAAAGCAGATACAGAACAAAGAGGAAAAACTGAAAGGTCATTATTTACCTCTACCTTATTTTTTACATGAAATTAACCAAAAATAAAATTATACTGGCGAAGAGAACTCATTGTGTTTCCATATACTGTCTTAGAAATAACATGGTCTCTTAGAACTATTCGAAAGTAACATGCTATCAAACCATTATGCAAAAATCGAAGAGCAAGTATCCAGTGAAACAGCCGACCTGAGAAACTGAAACGAGGTGCGAAAAGGGTCTCCCATTCCCTCAGGGCGTGTTCCTGGGCCTTAAAAATGCTGTTGGGCCAGAAGGGTTAGACATCTAATGAGACAGGTAATGAAAAATTACATTTCCCGGGAATTTCCTCTAGTCGAAACAGGGCTGATCCCAGGAGGCAGTCATTAAGACTGAAAACAAGTTTCTCGGGTTGAGGTCAGCTTGGATGAGGGAACGGAGAGCGGAGGGGGAACAGGTGTGAAGTCGGCAGGACAAGCTCAGGCCGCGTAGAAAGGGAGAGGGATCTTGTAATCTTGTATACTTGTAATCGTCGGTGACTCGAACGTCAGGCGTCTTGAGGGAGCAATGAAAAAAGATTCAGGAGCTCAAGTTTCTTTCAGTCAGTTTCCCGGTGCTAGGATTGAACACATTAGGAATAGGATCGGATCGGTGGTGTGCCGAGGAAGTGTCGGTGGTCCTTCACGTAGGGACCAACGATACTTCCAAGTCTGGCTCTGAACTCATCATGGGCAGGCTGAGGCAGGCTATTAGGGCGTGTCGGGAGACAAGGTCGGGGGTGCGGGTGACGGTATGCGCGATCCCGAGCCGGCTAGACGAGGGAGGAATCACGTGGTCCAGGTCGGAAGGGGTTAACGACAGGTTGAAGGAGTTATATATCGCGGAGGGAGCGGTGTTTCTGGACGCTAGGGAGGCTTTGAGTCGCTGTAGAAGTCCGATGGCTAGGGATGGAGTACATCTTTCGAAAGAGGGAGCTGTAGCTGTAGCATTCGGATTAGCTATCATGAAGGAAAATGAGCCTTTTTTAGGGTTGTAGATGGGGGGGGG